CAAGACAGCATGGTACTGGCACAAAAACAGACACATAGATCAATGGAACAGAATAGAGAGCCCAGAAATGGACCCTCAACTCTATGGTCAACTCATCTTTGACAAAGCAGGAAAGAATGTCCAATGGAACAAAGACAGTCTCTTCAACAAATGGTGTTGGGAAAATTGGATAGCCACATGCAGAAGAATGAAACTGGACCATTTCCTTACACCACACACAAAAATAGACTCCAAATGGTTGAAAGACCTAAATGTGAGACAGGAGTCCATCCAAATCCTAAAGGAGAACACAGGCAGCAACCTCTTTGACCTCAGCCGAAGCAACTTCTTCCTAGAAACATCGCCAAAGGCAAGGGAAGCAAGGGCAAAATGAACTATTGGGACTTCATCAAGATAAAAAGCTTTTGCAAAGCAAAGGAAACAGTCAACAAAACCAAAAGACAACCAACAGAATGGGAGAAGATATTTGCAAATGACATATCAGATAAAGGGCTAGTATCCAAAATCTAAAAAGAACTCATCAAACTCAACACCCAAAGAACAAAGAATCCAATCAAGAAATGGGCAGAAGACATGAACAGACATTTTTCCAAAGAAGACATCCAGATGGCCAACAGACACATGAAAAAGTGCTCAATATCACTCGGCATCAGGGAAATCCAAATCAAAACCTCAATGAGATACCACCTCACACCAGTCAGAATGGCTAAAATTAACAAGTCAGGAAACGACAGATGTTGGCGGGGATGCGGAGAAAGGGGAACCCTCCTACACTGTTGGTGGGAATGCAAGCTGGTGCAGCCACTCTGGAAAACTGTATGGAGGTTCCTCAAAAAGTTGAAAATAGAGCTACCCTATGATCCAGCAATTGCACTACTGGGTATTTACCCCAAAGATACAAAGGTAGGGATCCGAAGGGGTATGTGCACCCCGATGTTTATAGCAGCAATGTCCACAATAGCCAAACTGTGGAAAGAGTCAAGATGTCCATCGACAGATGACTGGATAAAGAAGATGTGGTATATATATACAATGGAATATTATGCAGCCATCAAAAGGAATGAGATCTTGCCATTTGCAACGACATGGATGGAACTGGAGGGTATTATGTTGAGTGAAATAAGTCAAACAGAGAAAGACATGTATCATATGATCTCACTGATATGAGGAATTCTTAATTGCAGGAAACAAACTGAGGGTTGCTGGAGTGGGGGGTGGGGTGGGAGGGATGGGGTGACTGGGTGATAGACACTGGGGAGGGTATGTGCTCTGGTAAGTGCTGTGAATTGTGCAAGACTGTTGAATCTCAGATCTGTACCTCCGAAACAAATAATGCAATATATGTTAAGGGGAAAAAAAAAAAAAGAAGAAGAAGATAGCGGGAGGGGAAGAATGAAGCAGGGGAAATCGGAGGGGTAGACGAACCATGAGAGACGATGGACTCTGAAAAACAAACAGGGTTCTAGAGGGGAGGGGGGTGGGAGGATGGGTTAGCCTGGTGGTGGGTATTGAGGAGGGCACATTCTGCATGGAGCACTGGGTGTTATGCACAAACAATGAATCATGGAACACTTCATCTAAAACTAATGATGTAATGTATGGGGATTAACATAAGAATAAAAAAAAATACATAAAAATTGACAAAGATATACCAGGTGAAAATCAACAATGAGTAATCAGAGTAATGCAAATATCAGATAGAATATAATTCATAGAATTCATAGAAGAAAGGCATAGAAGACAGAGGTGGTATTTAAGAGCGATAACTACTTCCACTAAGCACTGGTAGTGATTATGTGTGTTTCTACACCTGAATAATTCCTGCAGTTGTACTCTGGTGGATCACTGATCCAAGATGAGAGCAGAAATATCTCCTCAGATGCCAGTGAAAATAAATTCAGACAGAAAGGCAGACAAGAGAGCTGCTCCCAATGGTAGAGACTGTGAAAGACACCCCAGAACAAGGACAATCTACAGGTGAAGTAAACCCAGAACTGGAAGGGAAGAAAAGAAACATCTGTGCATCAGTCTAGGCACCAATCTAGATATTGGTGGAATAGCTTATGAGTAGGATTTAGGCTACTTTGGCACCAGGTATAAAAAAAAACTCCTTAAGCTTGATAGGTCTCATTCTCTTGGGCTGGCTTTCTCCACAAGCCCCGACAAAGCCATTGCCAGCACCTTTGCTCACAACTTCCCAGAGAGTCTCCTCCCTTAAGTCTACATTGAAGTCCCAGGGAAGGATTCTGCTAGGCTTGGCTTGGGTTCCATGTCCACCTTGGACAGTTCACTGTGCCCAGGCTCGTGGGGCGTTCCAGATGCCAACTACCATTCAAACCACATGGATAGAAGGAACATTTATTTTCACTTTAGTTTCAGTACATAAGCATGCTCTATTTCATTTTCTTTGGGGATAACATCAGAGTCCCAGGGTAGGGAGGTGACAGCAGGCTCCAACATCCTTATAAATCCAGAGCTAAAACCTTGTCACATTCAATCATGTCTTGACCCTTTTGGGCAACAGGGCACTGAATTCCATGTTTCTAATCTTGGCGGAAACAAACACTGCCTTCACCCAGATTCACAATCACTCTCAGTTCTCTGAATAGGCCTGGAGTCAACAGGAGGCCCGCAAGCAAAAAAGACCCTGAATCCTGCTCCCTTCTCTTCTGAGATTGGTAGACGTTCAAGTTGAATTGCACTGCTAATCCTCACCACGTGGAGGCTGTCCCAGTTTCCCAGAGGACTCTTCCCCTTGCTTTGTTTCTGTGGCTATTTGGTGTAATGCAGTCCCCTCTGAATTATCTTTGGGATTCGGGTCCTAGGTGTTTTGCTACCAATAGTGACATGGAAAACAGTGGGCAGACAAAATAATAAACACAGGGAACAGGGAACTAACATGCATTAGTAGGTATTCTCATCCTCACGTTTGGATGGGGAAACAGGCTCCCAGGCGTTATGTTGCCTGCCCCAAGTCAGAAGAACTGCAGAGAAGTAGAGCTGGGACCGGCTATCAGGTATGTCTGACTCTGATATGCACTCGTGTAGCTCTGGGAGTACTTGAATTCTGTTTCTTTTTGAATTTTCTATATTTTACAGTTTGTATTATAAGAACATCAGAGGAAATTTGAGAAGAAAACATTTACCCATGTTGTTCATATAAAAACCCGTTCTTCAAAGGGGCTGAGATAAGGTTCACTCACTGGTTTTCACTTGCCACTATATCTTGTGTACTTTCTAGGTCTCCCTAATTATCACTGTTGTTGTTACATAATATTTTAATGAGTTATGATACAACGTAATATCCCTAAGTGCCCTCCTGTCATGAACACCTCTGTTAAAAAAGTCTTTTTTTCTTCTGTTAATTATTTCCTTAAGATGAATCCCCAGAAGTGGAGTGACTGGTTAAGGCAAATGAACATTTTTATGGTTCTTGACTTTTATTGCCAAATTGCTTTCCAAGGGGGTTGTATCAACTTACAAGGACCAGGCAGTCTATTTTTTCAGGGTTTGTTTTTAGAGCTACTTAAATCAAATTCTATACGGAGCCAGGGGTCCTGATAATGTATAAATCATGATCATCAGCCAAAAACTCCTTGGAGAACCAGCCAGCCCTGCCAAATGCTAAGTGGCCCGAGAACTCAAAATACTAACAGCAATCATAACAGGGCAGTAAGAAGGAACGATCTTTTCCACATTTTCTTAGGGGATTTGTGTTCAATTTTGGAACACTGAGGAAAACATCAGTAGATCAGTGAAGTTACTTTATTAAAGTATTTGGTATTATCTGTTCTTTATAAGGAACAACTGCAACTTTTCCTATATCTGCTTCTATTTCCCCCCTCAGTTTTACTGAGTTATAATTGACAAATAAAATTGTAATATATTTAAAATATACAAATGATGATTTGACGTACATATGCATTATGAAAGGATTCTCACAACCAAGTTAATCAACACATCCATCACCTCACATAGTTACCTCTTTTGTGTGTGCGTGAGAATGTTTACGTTCTACTCTCAACAAATTTCAGTGATACAGTATTATCAATTGTGGTCACCATGTTATACATTAGATCTCAGAACGTATTCATCTTGTCACCGAAAATTTGTACCCGTTTACCAACCTCTCCCCATGTCCCCACCTGGCAACCACCATTCTGCTGTTTCCCTGAGTTTCATTTTTTTTTTCCCACATTCCACATGTAAGTGATACCATGTAGTATCTGTCTTTGGCTGTTTGGCCTATTTAACTTAGCATAATGTCCTTCAGGTCTACCCATGTTGTCACAAAGGGCAGGATTTCCTTCTATTTTATGGTTGAATATTCCTATATATATATATATATTATATATATATATAATATATATATATACACACACACACACACCACATTTTCCTTAGGTTATCAACAGACACTTAGGTTATTTCCAGACCTCTCCTATTGTGAATAATGCTGCTATGAACATGGGAGTGCAGGTATCTCTTTGAGATAGTGATTTGGCTTCCTTTGGATATATCCCTGCAAGTAGGACTGCTGGATCATATCTATTTGTGCTTCTGACACTCAGATACAGACAACACTGGCTTTATTAACAACAATAATAGCAGCAGCAGCTACGATTTATTGTGTATTTGTTGTATGTCAGGCACTAGGCTACATTCTTCATTTCTCCTAAAAATAACCTCACACAGTACGGTCATTAACAGCATGTTATAGAAGAAACCATGCTAGATCATATGCTCCCTGAGGGCAGGAATATTCGCGTTGCTCATTGACGTATTCCAAGGGCTGAGAAGAGCACATAACAGGTGCTCAAGAAACACTGTTGATTGAACGAAGCTCTGAGAGCATAAGCAGCTTCTCCAGGGCCACGGGCAGCACTGCTGGGATTCACACCCAGGATGCCTGGGATACACCGTGTCCTGTTTCCCGGTCCCTCGGCTACGCATGCTCTCTTACCAGGGACGGATGAACCCAGCCAGCTCTGGCCACTCACCTGACTCCAGCTCCCTGCAAACCACTCCACCTTGCCCGTGCAGGGCCCATTGTCACACGGGGTGGCCTCCGCGGGCCGGTTGTTCCCACAGCCCTCCAGCGGCAGGCTGCTGATGTGGTTGGTCATGCACACCACCGAGCGTGTCCGCACTCCAGCCCCACACTCTGCTGAGCACTGCAAGACAGGAGATGGGCACGTTAGAGGGCAGGCCCCCTGCAGGCTCTGAGGCCACTTTCTAATGACGTGAAGGACTGAACATCTCGTTTCCCTACCAACTCTTTCCCCTAGGAGTCTCTGACCACTTTTCACGCCCAGCCTACTCCATTATGGGGCATCAGTACGGCAAACCCCCATCTTAGCTTTCCTAGGACAGTCTTCATTCCAAATATCCTGTCCCAGTGCTGTGATTGATATGCTTACACTTGTCAGACAACCGGTTTTGACTTTTGCTTTTGAAAATAGATCCAGCAGCAGAAGAGTGAGAGCATGAACACTTGGGCATAGGTCTACTTGCTGGCAGCTGAGTCTGGGCTCTTCTGGGGAAGTGGGGAAGTGAAGTCTGTCACCTCTACCCTGCTGCCTGATAGTAAGGCAGGGGTCCCAGTCCTTGAAGGCCACAGCGGTGACAGCATTAGCAGACAGCTTCCTATAGACGGAGAGCTTGGCCTGGGAACCAGACACATCAGTGTTAATATCCCTACTAGCCTGCTGGCCTGGGGCAAGGAACCCAGCCCCTTCTACCTCTGGCATGCTCATCTGGATAGCACATTCCTGGCAGGATTACAGGTAATGAATAATGTGCTCTGCATACAGAAGGTGCTCAATAAATGGTATAGAAGCTTGAAAGAGTCAAGTTCTGTATCCCCACTCTAAGGTAAAGAAACTGAGGTAAGGTCTTCACTTAAAGCCATGGAACCACCAGTCATTTCTGTCCTACAAGCACACTCCTGAGGACACTCTGTCCTCATCTAGGGCCTACTGAACACATCCCCGAGTCACACCCAAAGCTTGAAGAGCATTTTCCATCTGTCTTGAAATGCTTTGGAATGCTGCCTTATTTTGCTTCTCATCCTATCTGTTCAGACCTTTCTGGACCTATTTGAGTGCTCCCCAGATACCTCATGCTCACCATGTAAAACAATGAAGCACCCCCCTCATCACCATCCCCATTGCTACTCTTGGTTTTCCAATTTGTGCTCAAATTTCTACCAGGATTCAAAAGTTGACCATTCTTTTGAGTCCTTGCTTCTGCCATCAAGCCAACCTTCAGATCTCACAGATTCTGGTTTCACCACATTTTTCCTGTCCTGTTTCTTTCTGCCCATGGTTCCCAGCATTGATGTTCTTCCCCTGAAATATGGTCACAGCTTGTTGCTCAGTATCACTACCTTTTCTAATTTGCTGAGCTTCCAGGTGCTGGGAGTGCCATGTTGAAAATCCCTCTGATGCCGTCCCAGTCCAACTGGACCTCCCCACCTGGCATTCAAGCTCTCCTATAAGATGACCTCAGTCAGCCTCTGTCTTCTAGGGTAACTTCCCATTATTCTCTCCCACACAGCTCATGCTGGACAGAGCCTGGGTCCTCCATTTCCTGATTGCATGAAGTGCTCACCGTGCCTTATCCATGTTGTTCCTTCTATCTGCTAGAGAGCTCTTCCCCTTCATCAGGACACATCGAAATCCATTAAGGCTCAGCTCAAAGGCCATCTCCTCTGTGAAAACTCCCTTGACTGCCCAAGTCAATATACTCTTTCCAGCCTCAGAAGTCTCAAGACACTGTGCATCCTACTATCCTCCTTTGTACTACAGTTACTTATGTCTTACTTTATTTTTTCCTTTATAGAAGTAGGCTCAGTGAAGTCAGGGACTATTGAATCATCTCTACTTCCTTCTCAGGTCAGCACCTTACCCGTGGGCAATGAATATCAGTTAAATAAATGAACACAGACTTGGGTACTTCCTTGCTCCTTTCTCTTCTGTTACCAGTACGTTCCAACTCTGAAAATGGCCGTTTAGAGGACAACCAAAGCCCATTCTAAGGGTTTCTGCTGGGTATTCCCTTAAACACAGAGTCACTGTTTTTTGTTTGTTTTTACCAACATTACTATTTTAAAAATATAAGCAAAAGCAATATAATTTAAATAAAAATCAAGAAAGGAAGAAAAAAAAAAAACAACCCTGGTTCCTTACCAAAATTTCCATTTTCATTTTTGTATATTGCTATCTAGTCTTATAAAATCACAGCCTGGATGAATAAGCAAACATTTACATGACCACTGCTGGGTTGGGCCTGACTCCTCAGCGAGAAAACTCTCTGAAGCAAAGAGCCTGAAGAGGATTGGAACATGCCACCCCAAAATATGCTGCTTTGACATATTTTGAACTGAAGGTGATTGAGAAACATCAGATCCAGGAAGGGCTCTCTGCCCTCCCACTCCCTGCCTAAAAACAGATCATAAATTTTCACGTAGTATCAGGAAGAAGAGAACATTTTGTTAGGTGCTGATGCCAAGATGAGTCTAAACAAACAAACAAACTTTACCAAAATAACCCTTATCTTCCATTAGTCTCCCCCATATATTTCTCAGCCACTTTCCTACCTTTTATTGCCCCTAAAAGCCCCAGCCCCTTTCCTTTGTCTAGTTACTTCTTCAAAATTTATCACTCTTTGTTAAAATGGCATAGAAGTGTTCAAGCCTAACTGCTTCTTTGGGATTTTCATTTCTTTCCTATGAGGAAAGAATAATGTAATGAGCTCAAGGGGGAGAGATTAAAGAAAATGTGATTGAAGTGCACAAACACTTAAGGATCCAGAATACATCCTATTCCTGTGCCATGTAGAAAATGAACATCAAATAAAATGTGTCGGCTTTTCTCCTTTTAATCTGGCTTTTGTCAGTTTAGTTTGCAGGCTTCTAATACAGAATTTAAGAGGATGGAGGAAAAGTTTTTTTCCTCCCCTACAGGCTCACAAACACTTTGCATGACTTACACTCTATTTGCATTGTTATTAGGAATTTGAGCCAATGAGTCAGTCCTTTTTACAACAACAACAACAACAACAACAACAAAATCCTTTGTTACAATAATTGGAATCTTCTAGGCTAAAGGGTTTTTTGTTTCAGCTGTATATTATCTGGTCTCTTTCCTAGTTTTAAACACTTGAGATATTTAAATCCTCCTGAAGAATACAAGGCAAATTAAGTTATCTTCTTATCTCAAACCCTAAGAATATTTCTTTCCATGTAGTTTCCATTTGACTAACTTAATTTCTGCTTTCCAAACCAAATAATGTCTTCACATCTGGGAAAATTTCCCCATATCCCCATGTGCTTCATATAAAAGAAGAATGTTAAGGACCAAGCCAAGAGCTCAATGAGAGAACACTATAGGGATGAACCCTACAGAGGGACTTCTCTCTATTACACCGGCTCTGGCTCGGGAAGCCTCTCGGCAGGAATGAGGGGAACGATGGGCCCCTACCAGCCAGCAGGGACTACCCTTAAAAACCAGGCACTGAAACACCCATTCACTATCCCTGAAGGATGTGCCTGAAAGAAGGACCAAATCCACTTGGTAATCAGAAAAGGACCTGACTCCCAGCTGAACTCCTGGGCTGACAAAACACAGAAACACATGAAATTTCTAGGCAACCGTGTGGTGAGGATTGTCCTCTTGCTCCAGCAACAGCTGAATGCTAACTTTGGCCCAATCAGCCCTTGAGGGACTGACTACAAGGCTCTAATGGCTATTCCTGAATTTCAGGTTCATGTATCATCTTCCATAATTAGTAACAAAAAACTCAAGGTCTTACTTCTTCTCTTGGAAAACATCCTTAGATATTAGGTGTTACAAAATTGAGGCTGGTGGACTTTCTAAAAGTTTTTTTCTTCTTTTTCTGTTGTGACTAAATATTGCACATGTGTTTAAACCTGTCATTGATTTATAGAACTAAAAAGTCTATGATGCATATGTCTGATAAGACCCGCCCTCAGTTAAAGGTAGCTGAAAGGACGTGTTTATGATGAGTCATTGAGTCAGAAAAACTACATACCCCTGGAAGTTTAAGAGAAGATCTAGGTTTGAGTTTACAAGTTCAATTCAATTAGGTAGAGATTAATTAATTTAATTTAATTAATTTATTTTTTAAAGATTTTTATTTATTTGATAGAGACAGTGAGAGAGGGAACACAAGCAGGGGGAGTGGGAGAGGTAGAAGCAGGCTTCCCGTGAAGCAGGGAGCCCAATGGGGGGCTTGATCCCAGGACCCTGGGACCATGACCTGAGCCGAAGCCAGACGCTTAACGACTGAGCCACCCAGGTACACCGAATTAATTTTATTTTAAATTGGGAAATAGGATGTATTCTGGATCCTTAAGTGTTTGTGCACTTCAATCACATTTTCTTTAATCTCTCCCCCTTGAGCTCATTACATGGAGGCCGTATCTCATTCATGCCTGGCATTGTTAGGTGCTCGATACATGTTTATTGCAGTTGCAAAAAAAAAAAAAAAAAGGCAAAGCTCAGCCTAAAGCTTTACAGGGTTGATTTTTATACAAAGCCACTACTCGCGTGTGAAAGACTGTCCAGCAGCTGGTCATTCCTGGGGCTAAGTGGTGACTCCAAGGCCCGCCCCACGATCTCATCATCTAGGTCATGGTTTCAAATATGTTACCCCCTCATGCTCATTCAGCAATGTTGCCAATGAGGAAACTGAGGGTCAGAGAACAGCTTGCTTGAGGTGTAATAAGAAAGGTGTGCAGACAGAACGGGGGTGGGCCCTGCTGGACTCAGCCTCAGGGCCCAAGTCTGAGGGAAAAGTGCTACCAAAGCCTCCTTCCCACTCATCTACTCCAGGCATGAACATTCTAGAATAATGTTATGTTCTGGGGGCTGAAAAAGCAAAATTACCTACTTATTTATATCAGAACACTAACCTGACATGGCTTAAAACATCTTTCCAAAAAAGAACAAAGAAGTTCTCTAAACAGAAGAATACGGTGCTCATCTTTCTTCTATTTAGAATTTTAAGACAAAGGTTAGATCCAGCAAGTACTTATGTTAAAATGCAAAGCAAATTTACATTAAAGGGAAATTTACAAGTGTTTGTTGGAGGGGGAATAAAGAATAAGGGTGGATTCAGTTAGAGTTGGCAAACAATAGCTTAGTCTAATTAAAATTCATGCTTTACAGGTTTTAAATGCCATTAACGTGTTTATAATGAATACATATGTGAAAAAAGGTTACTAAATTATACATATGTAGTATTATGATCTGTATCCTTCAAATATGTGTGAGTACAAAAAAGCTATGTATGTTAAGTATGTATGAGTAGAAAAAAGCTTGACAATAGAGCTTAAAAATCTTAAAATATTATCTGCTAGTAAAGAGATTATAGGTATGCTTTTCTGATTTTTTTATAATACTATATGTTACTTTATGACCAGAAAAGGTGAACATTATTTTTTTATCCATTAACTACATTAGTTCTTTAATTGGAAGTGAAAAATTCTTTGAGAGAAAATGTTTGCAAACACACATTCAAAAAGTAGAAAATGGCATTTTTACTATTTTGTTAAGTAGAGATAAGTTATTAAGTGTGTAGTCATATAAGAACTATGATTAAATCTTTTAAATATTTCAGATGCATTATAAACTCAGCTGTCTTGCATTGTCTTATCTTTGCATATAGCCTTTTATTAATTACACTGTGTTATATAAATAAATGTTCTTTATAGTTTAGAATAATGATTGATGAAGATGAGGAAGCATTTACTGAGAAAATAATTTCAGCTGTTTTAACCTTTACATGAGCATTTTAAAACTTTGATTTCCTCTAGTGAATGTGAACCTCAAGAAAAATTTCCAAACTTCAGTCTACTTGGACATGCGAGTCATTGAACATTCATGGAAGAAATTATTACCTTAAGCTCTGCATATTCTTTATGAGATTTCATATAAATATTAAGGACTAAAAGGGTTTAAGTGCTCTAGACTTCAAACGATCTTGTTCCTTTTGTTTCATGACTTAAACTGGTATTGTAAGTTCTCTGTTTGCATCACAAACTTTTATATTATAGGACACAGACATTTTAGCTTAAGGTCTTATGTATATTTGACAAAAATAATTTTCATCCAAAATTATTTTAAAAAGAGTCTTCCCAAGAGGAAAATAAAAGCCTGGCATCATTCTTTTTATTCATTTGTTTGCACACCAACTTCACTGAGTTTACCGCGAACACAAATGAATTTTGGGATGGCTAGAAATCCAGAAACACAAAAGAATTAGTTGAAGGAACTAGGAATTTTTAGGAGAAGAGGTGGAAGAGGTCTCCAAATATCTTTAGGGCTGCGGTGTAAGGAGGAACACTCATGTTTTACAGGACAGGAGTGGGAGTTAGCAAGACACATTTTGGTCCAATGCCAAAGAAACCCTCTGGGCAACTGCCTGGACCCGCCACGAATTTCTGGGAAGGAGTTAGGCTGAGTCAGGGATGCTGCAGAGAGCTCCTCATGCTGGCAGGGAGGCTGAGCACAGTGGCTTCTGGGGGGCCTCCCAGGGCTGCTTGGGCACTGCCAGGAGCTGAGGTGTGAGCTGGGAGGCTTGGATGGAGGGAGAGGGGATGTGCAGACAGAACGGGGGTGGGCCCTGCTGGACTCAGCCTCAGGGCCCAAGTCTGAGTCCATGGACACCTTTCGATGGGCACCTACTCTCCATTTGTTTCCTTTGGGTCAATGCCTTCCTGAGGACTAATTCGGTGCCCATGACAGCCCACTCTGGGACAGAGGAACAGTTAGCTGCTTGTCCTAAGAGTTCAGTGTTTGCACACGGGCTCTCTATCTGGGGGCCATCTTGGGGCTAAAGGGGAGTGGCCGTAAGCCACGAGGTGTCAGGAATCCACAGCAGGTCAATCACTCGATGAGAATCTCCAGGATGATCTCTGCATGCGAGGTGAAAGCTGCGTTGGCGGGTCTGTTCCTCAACCCCCACCAAGGTGCAGTGTTACTGTGATGACGGGGACAAAATTAAGGGGCATCTTAGCACCGGATGGAGTGGAAGCCCCTATGAATGCTTGCAGGGTGATGCTCAGAATACTGGACAATGCTCACCAGCCGGAGGGATGCTGGCCCAGGAATCCACCCATGTGGCGGGATGGCGACTCATGAAGGTTTCCTCCTCTGAACTTGAAATGTCGCCCTGTTGTTGTTCACATGATTCCACAGGGAGACGAGGCTCCCGTGCTCAGTGTTTCCTAAGGCTCTAGGAACTTGCCTGGTCCCCTCTTACCCTTGGCCCAGCAGCCTCAGTGCCCCCTGGGAGCCCATTAGGAAGGCAGATTCCCAGGCCCACCTCCCCGCGTGGACTCAGCCCCGGCACCATGCGGGGATTCCCAGGTGACCTGTAGGCACACTGCAGTTTGGCAGCACGGTGAGGAATTCTGATAAGGGAAACGGTGGCCACCTGGCCTAGCCAAGAGGAAGGCACTAAGGACAGAGACAGCCAGTCCTGGCTCCATCCCAGTTCAACTTGCAAGGGCTCTAGACGGTCCAGAAACCCAGAAACCGTTGGGGTGGCGGCCAGCCCACTGCCCTGGGAGGAATCTCCTGATGGCCTCTCCCACTGCCAGCCCGTCAGTCAGGGGCTTCCACAAGAAAAGGAAGGCAAAGCTCACTCTCTCCTTCCCTCTCTCTCTTCCCCTCCCCAAGGTACACTCTGTAATTTTGCTTAGTGCTTTTCCCCAAACCCTTTTTTTTTATTGTAGTAAAATACACATAACATAAATTTACCATTTTAATCATTTTCAGTGTACATTTCAGTGGTATTAATTACATCTACACTGTTGTGTAACCATCACCAGACCCAACTCCAGAATCCCTATAAATCCTACTTTTGTCATTTTTTTTTTAGGGAGAGCACACACATGCATGCATGTGAGCGAGGAGGGGGAGGGGCAGAGGAGGAGGGAAGAGAGAGAATCTTAAGCAGTCTCCACGCCCAGTGGAGCCCTGCATGGGGCTCGATCTCACGACCCTGAGATCATGACCTGAGCTGAAATCAAGAGTCGGATGCTTAACCGATCAAGCCACCCAGGCGCCCCTAGTTTTGTCTTTGATACAGGAACTCTATCTCTTGCTGGTTTCCCTTGCACATAGGTAACTGGCGGGCCGACGGTTAACTGTACGTGCCTCAGACTTCATCTTTACATCTGACACCAGGGACCCCAAGGGAGGCCAGGCTACTGGGGAGGGGAACAGTCTGTGAACTGTGCTGAGTTAGTGAGAAGGAGGGAAGGGGCCTGCCGTCTGCTGAGTGCTTTTATATGCCAGGCACTGACATACCATATGAGAGCTGCAATGTAATTCTTCCCCTGCTTCAGTATTTCATGATTTAATGTTCATGTGCAGTGCAAAGGAGAACTAATGCTCTCACACCCACTGCCCACCCTTGCAGCCCCTTGGTCTTTGTATGAGGATAGAAAGCCTTTTCCCCAAAGTCAGAAGTTACCCTTGGGATTCTCAGCTGGTGATTCATCTTCGTGGTGTTGGGGTGCCTGTCACGTACAGCTCCTGCCCACTGGCCCGGCAGCCCTCGGTCCCGGCTGTAGGAAACCCACTCTGCCTGCCCTCAGCTCACCCTTTCACTCCACTCGGTGAGGAACCAGCTCTTGGCACAGGGCCCCATGTCGCAGTTCTCAATGTCGTTCGGCCGGAGCTTCATGTTGCATTCTTCATCGTCGACCACGTCCCCGATGTTGCTCACACACTTCACGTCTCGGGTCCTCTGTCCCACCCCGCAGGGCACTGAGCACTAAAACAGCAGGAATAAGTCAGTGGGATGGGCAGCGTTACCTTCGGGGGCCTCTCCAGCCCGGGTGCCCTCATCCTTGTCACCTGCCACCCGAGCGGACGACTGTGGTGAGACCCACTGGGGGGGCTCTGGGTTCCCAGCCCTGACAACCTCACCACCTTTTCTCTAAGACCTTCTTGGATGTCCTGCCCACTTTGTGGCTCTGGGCCTCCGTTCTGTCCTCTGTGAAACGGGGGTGCGAGACTGGAAGGAGCTGACTTCTCATGACACACGAGAGAGAGCACCTGTACGCGCGTGACTGCCACGGGCTCACCCTGCAAGTGGGCTGTGGGCCGCTGCTGCACCCCACCCTTAACCCTCGGGCGCTATCGGTTTGCAGAACAGTCCTTCCAGAACACCCCGCAGCCCCGGCCCCGCCCCAGGAAGCGTTCTCTTTAGGAGGCCTCAGGGCTGTGCGGAGTCAGCGCTGGCGGCGGTGGGCGGGGTCGCTGGCGGCGGTGGGCGGGGTCGCTGGCGGCGGTGGGCGGGGTCGCTGGCGGCGGTGGGGCGGGGCACGGCAGGGCGTCTGGGCGGGGGGGGGGGGGGGGGAGCTCTAGTGCAGCGGCCTGCCCCGCCCGCGTACCGAGGTCCAGTCTGTGCGGATCTGCCACTCGCTGCAGATCTTGAGCTGGCAGGTGCTGGTGGTCTCGGGCTTCTCCAGGTGCCGGCAGCGGAAGGGCTGCACCGTCAGGCTGCGGTTGGCGTACACCTGGCGGCACAGGACCTGACGGTGCTGCATGCCCAGGCCGCACGTTTTGCTGCACTCGGACCACTCTCCGATGTCCCAGCTAGCTCAGGAACGAGAGGGCGCGAGAGGGACAGATCGCCTTCAGCCAGGGGAAGAGAGCACGCCCCGAGAGCCGGCTCGCACGCAACCATCACGGGGGGTTACGGGTGGGCCTCACCCAAGAGCACAGCTCAACGCCTGCCCGAGGGCCGTCGCACTCCGGGAAGCAACGGAACTCTGTCGACAAGCTCCTTACCAGTGATGACAGCCCAGTTTTAGAAAATTAAAGAAAACCGAGCAGGTGCAAAGGATTTTTATCTAAAAAACGCCCCAAACTCCAAACGTTAGTTTTATCATCACCCCGTAGAACGTTAACCCACGTTGGATCTTAGAAATCTCCAGCATTCTTTATTGCTCATGAGCTACTTACTCATCAGTTTCACGGTCCTCCCCGTCATCCTGCTTTGTCACTTAGTTAAATAAGACATCAGCACACGCTCAATACGTAGGAGGATGTGTCTATTACTTTGAAAATTATGATGGGACCCTTTTGGGGGGCTCTTTCTCCCTGTTCTTCTGGAAGTGTCCTCTGCATCATTCAGTAACCAGCCCAAGACCTCTCCTGAGACACTCCTCCCGACTACTCCTTGCCCACGTACTCGTGACTCTCCTCAGTCTCTCTGTTCACGGCTCACCTACAACACTGACCACGCTGGACTGTAATTCCCAGCTTCCCTCTTTGCTTTCCTCACCAGGCTAACACGTAATTGCTCCAAATTACCAAAGGCCTGTGCTCACTGCTAAAGGCTACAAGCTTCCACGTTCATCCCCAGAGACAGGTGTGCTTGCCGAACAGACTGCAGTTTATGCACAGACTGAGTCTCGTGTCTCTAAATCAGATGTAGACAGATTATGCCCGCTAATAAGGTCCTATGCACCCAGAAGTGACCCGATAACAGGCGACCTCCACAGAGAGGCCATCTTACAAGGCTGGGCAAGGGAAGAGGTTGCAGGGCTCCTCCTCGGGGGTGGGCTTCATACTGGAGTCGCAGTAGCTCTCGGGCACCTCTTCATGGGTGTTTCGGTGCACACAGCGAAAAATAGGGAACTGCGATCCTGCAAGGACAAGGAGAACTTCTCAAGGACAGCCCCACACACTTGAATGTTGGGCTCTGGGTGCAGGTGCACAGAGATCTGGGTACTGATGAAGAGAGGCCGCAGGAACAGAGAAATGCACACACACACAAACACTCCTCCTTCATTCATGCGTTTACACACACCTCCCACACAGGGGCTGTGACAGGCACTGTGGACACTGGGGGTGCAAACCGCGGACACGGTTGGAAAGTGCTAAAGGCAGATACAAACAATTTTTATAACAGTTCAAGATATCACGAGGCAGGAGAGTGATTTATAAAATGAGCACAAGTAATAACTGCTTGGAAGTTTTCTGGAGTCATCACAAAGAAAGGGTCCTAGAGGGTCCAGCTGGATCCTACGGAAGGGTGGGGTTTGGGTAGCTGTGGGCATGTGTGTCTTGGAGGGAGGGGGCTGTCCAGGCGGCTGAACAGGAACAAAAGTGCCCGACACACTGGCCTGCATGTGCCTGGAATGTGTGAGAGGCAGGCTGAAGCAGAGAAGTAAGAAGATTCAGGACCGGCTAGAAGAGCAGCGAGCTTCGCCCTACTCTCTAAAGCATTTTACCCATTCCCCTAATAAAGTACTGATCCAATGGTATTTTTAGTTATTTGAGTAGATGTCTGCTTCCCATGAGACAGAGAGCTTCTCAGGACAGAACTAATTCTTGTTCATCCCTGTAATCCCAGTACCTAACAGCATAACAGCCGCTCAATAAACATGCTGAATGGATATTTATCAGAGGTCTCATATTTGTTTTTATTACTTTGTTAAAAAAAATCATACTGACTGCCTCAGGGTTGTTGTTGTTGTTTTGTTTTAAATACGCAGCCAAGTTTCACTGGCTTAATATGGATAAATGTATTTTGGAGAAAAAGTCAGAATCCGTTAAACGGAATCTCTAGCTTTGAAAAAAAAAAAAAGCCGACAATTCTGCAGCCTCTCTCTGCTACCCCCTGGTGGCAGCTCGGGAGTATTGCTAAGGGATGTGTACAAAGTGAGAAAGGTAACCAGGAACAGGCCATGCAATTGTTTGAAAAATAAGATGTTTCTTCACAAATAAATGTCTGTCCCCCTGTGCCGATCCCCAGTCTAGGCCACTACCCAATTCCTGCCGGGCAGAACATGATCACTCATCCTACAGTTCCATCTTACCTCTGTTGCTAACTGGCCAGGCATTTGGATTTTCTGAACTTCCAACTTACTACAATTTAATTGTAACTGGAGGGATAACTCTTCACAGAAACGTTTCCCTATTTCATCAGCCATGAAGAGCGTGTCAGTGCTTGTTGACGCTGATCTTGTGTGACCCCCAAGCCAGAGGGTGGTTCTTGTAAGAAACCTTGACAGATTGGAAGACAGTTCTGAATCTGAAATGATCATTTGTTTAAAAACCACTCTGGCAGTAAAAATTCATAATGTAGCTATAACTTTAAGACCATTATTTAAAAACAATGTTCCAGGGGCGCCTGGGTGGCTCAGTTGGTTAAGCATCTGCCTTTGGCTCAGGGTCCTGGGATCGAACCTCGCTTCTGGCTCCCTGCTTGGTGGGAAGCCCGCTTCTCCCTCTCCCACACCCCCTGCTTGTGTTCCCTCTCTTGCTGTCTCTCTCTCTCTGTCAAATAAATAAATAAGATCTTAAAAAAAATAAAAATAATGTTCCAGTGAAGTATAATTATTAGCGGAGTAAAAAGCGGTACTGACTATAAAACTAATAAGAAGCAAAAACTTTTGTGGAATGAAATTTTGTCCAGTGACATATCTGCTTCCATGAAGGAGAGATTTTTTAAATTAAATTCCACATATATTAAGCACATTGTGCTCACTTACAAAGATGAATAAGATTCCGTTCACGCCTTTCGGGATACCCATGTGGGACCCAGATATTAAGGGATTAAGTAAAAATCTTATTATTTATCCCTTCAGACCATGTGGGTGTAACTTTTCTGCTGGCAAGTCTGCGGACTGGAAAGCAAAAGTTACTACTCCAACCACATGGCACTCAAATGAGGGGACAATTTAATATCTTTAGCTAAAAGGATACAGGCTACCATAGGAATGCTCCGTGCCTTGGAGGGATGGGTCCTGCCCAGGGCTGTTTGTATGTGGCCATGGACCTTCCTCACCCTCTTAGTGCCTTTACACTACACTTAGCCATGGTCCAGCTCCAGTGTTCAGCCAAGGACGTAAATCCAGAGGCTCACTCTCTGATGGTGAGAACCATAATTCTTGACTCCAATTACCACAACAGTTTCTTTTTTGGGGTCAGTTTTGATTTCTGCAGAGAATGGGATGGTGAGGTCCGGGGCTGGCTGGGCTTCAGGCAGCAGGAAGAATCTGGGATCATTTTAGTTGGGTTTTATGTTGTGTGTGTTGATGAGAACAGAGGTATATTATCCTGGAGGAGGGAACCGTACTGCAGGTAATCCACAGATATTAAAGGAGGCAAGTCAGTGAGTTCTGGGGACGGTGTAGAGAGGCTGGTGCGGCATTGGGGAGAGAGGGACAAAATACGGAGCAAGAAAAAAATGAAATCATCTGAGGTTTGGAACTCCAGGAATCAACTGAGCCAAGCCAAAAGTTTGACCAGACAGAAGTCTGGGCAACGGCCGGGTGGAGTATGAGCCACTCTGGGCTGTTGGTGGCAGGACCCCTCTCTGTGACAGTGATACAGTGAGGGGTGGTTTCCCTTGAGAGGCATGGAGACATGTGGTCTGTTGAGCTCCACCAGAAAGGACTGGAGAAGATTTGTGTGGGGACGAATGGTGAGGTCACAGGGAGCATGGATGTGGTTTGCATCTATAAGAGCAAGATGGTAACAGAAGGGCGTGGTCCTGGTACATTTGTCACTGCTGCTGAGCTAAACATGGATGCATCCACATGGCCTCATGTGCCCTGCAATCCAGCCAGCGCTGCTGGGAACAAACCTTACAGGGAGCAAAGGAGGGGCATCCAGGGGCTGCTGCCATTTGTCCAGTGGAAGAGCAAGGGGCTAGGAGTACGAGAGGAGGGAGGGCTGGGGGAAAAAACAGCTCTGCTCTTGTTTTATTTCCAAGGAACCTCTTCTGTAGCTCTTGGACTGGAGAAACCATGCTGTTTCTCAAGGTAAAAAAGAGGATGCACATGTCCTCACAAGCATCCAAGTGGCAGATGCTGTGTGTGTGTGTGTCCACAAGCAAAGCAGAAAGACTATATTAAGAACGTTAAATAAAATCATATGGAAATCCAGAGAAAAAGATTCTTCAGTTGCGAGTACATAAATCCACATTCTTTAAGCTACGATAGAACACAGTAAGGCAGTAACAGCCTTGCCTATCCAGGATGCAATGATGTAAAAACTACCCTTACACCTTTTCTAATAGCTGGATATGCCCCAATTCAAGAAACACTTGAGGAGCGTCTCCTTGTGTGCTGGCTACCATCCCAGGAGCAGGTGATGAAAAGAGTCCATGCGCGGAGACAGCTAGGCCAAGCAGAGCTGGGACAAGAATGTGTCCTGAGTTGTGGTGGGGTCCCATAGGATAAGTGCCCACCTGTGCCTTGCAGAACCAGGAAGGGCTTTACAGAGGAGGTGCATCTGAGCTAGATCGGGGAGTCTAAGTGGTTTGCTGGCTCCATACCAGAGGATATAGTCTAAGGGATGCAGGTGTTTTAGCTCAGTGTGGATCACACAGACTGTGGTTGGCTGGGGGAAAGATAACCAGAAGTTTTGGAAATGGGGTCCCTCCATCATGCCTTGAATGATCCGTTGAATGGACACCTGGGTATGTGGCATTAATTCGGTGAATGCAGGGCTGTGTGAGCAGCATGAAGGGTGAGCGGGCAAAGGCACATGCTTTCGTCCTTATTCTACTAAAGTCCATGAGGCGATGCCCGAAGTCCTCTGGACACGGCGACATCTCATGCTACTCGAAAGACTAGGCCAGGTGATCTTTATGGACAGGAAAGGGAAGAGAATCTTCCACACATCTGCCATCCTTGATATAAAACCACAAGATGGCAATTTTTCTTCTTTTTATGACTTTCCCTGTGTGTACCTAGCACAAATGTGTCTGGTTCCTCTGGTGGGCATTGCACCACTAACTCCATGGTGGAAACTTCAGTAATCACACATTTGGACCCCGGGTTCCTATGTCAACTGCATTTCATCCTGCTCACCTCTACAGTTCCAGGGTTGGATTCTGACTGAAATGATTTTGGCCTTCCTGTGTAATTAGCTTTCTGCCTCTGTTCAGACACATTCTATGGGCGCATCATTTTCCTTCCGAAAGCTTAAAAAAGAGGTTAGGGCAATGAATCTTCAGTCCACATTCTTTGCACACGTATTAAGCAAAAGCCCACTAATTTCTGCAGTGTCAGCTCCAGAAATCAGTAATCCAGTTATCAGTCATCACAGAACTGGCTGGGGGTCCAGGCAGGAGATGCTCCAGCCCCCACAAAGAACCAAGTACCTCAGTTCGGTTCTCAAAAGCCACCAAGCTGATGCTCTTGGGAAAAAGATAAAGGCTTTACAGGCAGTTGTGAAAATTTCCCGGGTGCAAATTATGTCAGACTTCCTGAATTTTCTACCCTTGGGTACATGTCTCTTGAAGAAAAGAAAAGAAAAAAAAAAAAAAATCCCCAAACCACTTTTCTTAGTGTATCAGTTTCCAAGCAACAGGAACTTCTTGGGATAAAGCCTTCCCATTTCCGTGGCCACCTCGCCTCCAAGGACAGCGGTTTTAGCGTCACAAATAGGACTTCCTTACAAACAGGAGGCCATTTACCATGCAGACAGTACCCTTGCCTCATGGTTCCTTGTGGTCTCAGACAGATCCTTGCACTGAAGAGCTAGGCCACCTTGAAACTGAGAAACAGCCTCAATTTCCAACCCAGGTGCCAGACATTCAATAAGGGGCTTCTGGACACATTCCACGCCTACCTTAACTTTGGAGTTTTCAAGGAAAACTAACCCCAGATCCAGCCCACGGTTCAGACTGATACTAATATTGACCCCTCTGCCCACAGCCTCCTTTGCTTTGAGCCCATCAAAACTCGCTTTCTTTAAATGTCACCTGAACTCCATCTGCCCTTCTCCCAAATCCTGTAACTCTTTTCTTTGTTTGGAGAGACACCATTTGTTCCTTCTGGTGTCTCTGGCGTGTGGTCTCCCTTCCTGCAAGGAGTCCATGGAGCTGGTGTGGCTGGGCTGCAGGCTTGCCCCCGGGGTCGTAGCGGATGGGGTTAGGATAATGGGACAATACACAGCGAAGATTTTACGGAGAGAACCGTGGGGAGCTGTGAGTGTTGGTGAGCGTAAGAGCCGGCTCACACCTCAAGCCCCGTGAATGTGCTTTTTTTTCTGGAATCTTAGATTTGAGAATGAGTTTTACTTGGTATTTGTGTACGTACACCTCAACTTCTCGATCTTAAACTCGGTGAACACATTCTGTGGTTATTCATGAGCTTGTCATGCAGGAGAGGGTTAACTCAGCAGGCCTGGGGTGCTCAAACCTTGCACACTCCAAAGAAAGTCCTGTCTTCAGGACTGGCCTTTGGAGCAGGGCTGGAGACAACCTTTGAGCCCGTGGGATATTCTGCTGATCGGAGTGTTTTTCCACACTGTATCAGTTTGACAAGATAGTTTATGCCAACATGCGATTTGGCTGAATGCCTGTATTTGTGGGCCTGTGGTCTTGGCCACGTTCTATCTATCAGTCTGACTTCTGGGTGCTAAAGCCTGAGTAGCTAATGTAAATCATGTGGGGGCTCCATGCCTATGTGATTGAGTCACAGTAAGCCCCCTGGACACCAAACCTCAATTATCTAGTTGGCAATAGTTGGTCTTGCTGTCACCCATCACTGCTGGGAGAATTCAGTGCATCCGGGTGCAACTCTCTTGGGATGGGACACTTGGAAGCTGGCCCCCGGTTTCTCCTGGACTTTGCCCCAAGTGCGTTTTCCCCTGATGATACCCACCTGTATCCTTTCACCGTAATAAGTTGTGACCACAAGCATAGCAACTCTTCTGAGTCTTGTGTGTCCTTCCTTTGGCTCATCAAGCTTGAGGGTGGTCTTGGGGACCCTCCACCCAATGTCATACCAATGAACCATCTCACAGTCAGACTCAAGGAGGGGAAGCTGCGCCATGTCCCTTGAGCCCAGCCACCCAATCCTTGCCCAGGGGGTCTGCAGAGACCCTCCTTGCCCGCACTCGAGCTCACCTTTCCCACAACTTGTGGAGCATTCTGTGGTCCCCAGCTGCTTCCAGTTGTGGTCCCGGCTTCGCCGCGGGGGCTGCGGGGCTGCCGGCACCACGTTGTCTGGTCGATGGGAAGAAAATCCATCCGGATGCCTGACTGGGAAGGTCTGTGCCGATTCCGAGGTGAATACTTCGGGGGCCCCACCGTGCACATCTTCCTTCTCCTCGGCCTCTTCTTTCTCTTCTCCCTCCTCCTGGCTCCTCCCATCTGTTCCCAGCTGGCCATTGAAGGGCTCCCCTAGGAGAGGCAGGTGCACACACACAGAAGTAAGACTGGTCTGGACCCGGAGTCCTCCCGAGGACATCCCTTGGACATTAGAAATTACATAGCATGAGGTCATTTCCAATCCATAGCACATGTATTTTAAACACGCAGATACCAGTTTCCCTAATATTCAAAACATTGTTAAAAATGAGTAAGAAAAAGATGAATGTCTCAGTAGAGGAAAAGCAGGCAAGGGCCAGGAAGAGGCGAGTCACATAAAAGGAAATACTTTAAACAGCCCAAAGTCACACAAAAAGGCCCAACTTCACTCATAATGAAACAACTACATGTGAAAACAAAAACAACCACCACAACTTTATTAGCCTCACAATAAAGCGGAGGAACTTTGGAGACCCCTAAATCCCTAAACCCCTCATTGAAGATACAGGAAAACAGGGGAGGAGGAGCCTGCTGATAGACACAAAGTTTTGGAGGGCAATTTGGCCATATCTACCCAAGTTTGTTTTATTTATTTATTTATTGAATTTTTATTTTATTCAAATTCAATTAATTAATATATAGTGTATTATTAGTTTCAGAGGTAGAGGTCAGTGATTCATCAGGTGCATAGAACACCCGGTGCTCATTACATCACGTGCCCTCCTTAATACCCGTCACCCAGTTACCCCATCCCCTCCACCCTCCTCCCCTCCAGCAACCCTCTACCCAAGTTTTAAATGCACATACCCCTTGACCTAGGGATTCAGTTTCTAGGACATTTATCGTACAAATATTCCCATTCTTTTACACAAAGCTGTATGTACAAGCATGGCTCCTAAAGCGTGTTTTGAAATAGCCAAATAGTAGAGTGAACTTAAATGTCCACCAGGGTACCGGTTAAAATACGTCATGCTACAACCACGAACGGATGCTATGTTATTTTTTTTCTTTTAAAGAATGAAGCAAAATGTATGTTGTGACACAGAGATATGACTGATGCATTGTTTGATGAAAGAAAAAAGCACAGCAGGATTCATTTTGTATATGCATCCACACAGGTGTGGCAGGACCCCTTACGAGAGATTAAATTTGTGTTCTGCCCTTGTGTCTGTCCCACGTCTCCCAGGCCAAGTGGCCAAGCCCTTAGGTTTTCTGGACTCGGATTTTTGCAGGGAAGTAAAAGCTGCTGGACGTCAACAGCTCTTCTTTCTCACAGTGAAAGCCTGAGTTCTCAGTAAGGATAACAAGGCCCAGATACTGGGGCCAGCCAATGGGAAGAGAAGGAGGAGGAAAGAGGAGGGAAAAGTGGAGAGCCTTTTGAGAGAGGGAGAGATGTTTTCAGGGCAAGGAGAGGCCGAAGTCAGAAGGCCAGAGTTTCTTGAGCACCATAGACCTTACCTGTACCAGACAGGGATCTTTACTCATACTGGCGGGGTGTGTGGAGAGCCTCCGTATTTACTGAGATAGAGTTTTCTATAAGTGTCAAGGAAATCTGAAGTTGAGGCAAGACCTAAGTTAGACTTCTGGAAAAGACTGGCATGCGATGTTCCCTGTACACTGCAGACAAAGGTTCAAATTGCTTATAAGCATGTTTCTACATGCACAGGAAAGGGCTGGGTGGAATCCCTTCAAATCATGAAGAGATATTCCCTCTTGGAATGGGATTGGGGGATGAGGTTGGGACATATTGTTGTTGTTGTTGTTGTTTTAAGTAGACTTTATTCTTTTTTAGAGCAGTTTTAGGTTCACAGCTCAATTAAGTGGCAAGTACAGAGTTTCCATACCTCCTCTGGCCCCACATAATGCACTTACCGCCCTCATCAACATCCCGCACCAGAGTGGTACATCTCTTACCATCTGTGAACCTGCATCAACACATCATTATCACCCAAAGCCCATAGTTTTCATTAGGGTTCATTTTGGTGGTGTACATTCTATGGATCTTGACAAAAGTAGAATACCATGTATCCATCATTACACTATCATCGAGAATAGTTTCACTCCCCTAAAAATCCTCTCTGTCTGCCTATTCACCCCTCACTCTCCCTTAACCCCTGGCAACCACTGATCTGTTTACTGTCTCCAAAGTTGTGCCATTTCCACAATATCATATAGTTGGAATCATACAGTATGGAGACTTTTCAGATGGGCTTCTTTCACTTAATAATGCACATTTAAGTTTCCTCCATGTTTTTCCATGGCTAGGTAGCTCATTTCTTTTTGTGCTGAGTAATAGTCCACTAGCTGAATGTACCTCAGTTTATCCATCCATTCACTGAACGAAGGACATCTTGGTTGCTTCCAAGTCTGGGCAATTATGGAGCACTTGCATCTTTATATATTTTTATTTTGATTGAATATTGTTCAAGCATATACTAGTTTGATACAAAACAAGGAGGCAAATTCCAGAGTTACTGTAGAATCCAGTTAAAATTTAGGACTTTCCCCACCCTGTACCACTTACAACACTTCATGGCTTAAAATATTAAATACAATTTAAATCAACAGAATCAAGACTAGGCATACTGATGTAAGTGAGACTAAAATATTACCAGACAAAAACATTTAAAAATCTTTTGTACATCTTGCATGCACTGGGCACTACACTGGGATGGACACCTCATATTCAATCTCCTCCACTGCCTGACCCCTTCAAGAAAAACTTTCGAGTGTAGGGTTTTTCTCTTCACTATTTTGTAGATTGGAAACGTGCTCAGAGAAGTTTCTGACTTGCCTGAAGGTGCACAGCAAGAAAGAGGCAGAGCTGGACTCGAGTTCATTGAGGGTAAAGCCTGAGTTCATGGAGGGTAAAGCCTACTACAGAATGTCCCTCCTCACTAACTTTTTACAACTGACTCCTTCTGGGCCCGCCCTGTCCCAGGTAGCCAGTTCCATACTACCCATTAGCTGAGACCCATCAGGCTTGTTATCAATCATCATCACCCTGTAGGATTTCAAATAGTCTGTCCAATTGTCCTTATCCATCAGCATCAGATTTCAGGAACCTCAATATTCTGCCATCTGAGCTTCGTTTCTCAGACTGTGGATCGTTCCTGCAAATGGCTCGAACATTGTGTCGGGCTGAGTGTGCTGACTTGCAGTTTAGACAATATGCGCAGCCCACGTGCCCGGTACACACCCTGCTGTCTCCAAGGAGCCAGGTTGTTCTTCCCTGACCTGTGACAGTCAGATAACTCGGTTATCCATTTGGCGGGCCAGGCCTCACATCTGTGCCCTCACTTCCTGGGACAGGTGTCAGAGCAGGTAACCCTAAGCGATATAACAGACAGCAGACTAAGGTCACTGTGGGACCGGGGCAATAAGTCCATCTCTTTGAGCTTCCATTTCCTACTTTTTAAAATGAGGCCAAAAACAGCCCCTTGCTCTGAGCACTGTCGTGATAATTTGATGAGTTCATCTATGTGAAGGGCTCAGCAATGTCTGGCACACAGCAAGGACTCCGTGCACGTGAGTGATATTATCATTGATATTTATGTAGGCCTTCCTGTTCAAAAGATGGAAAAAACAGTCTCCATTTGGGTGGTGGGTTCCATTATCATTTGGTAAAGAAATATCTGCAGAGCCGGAGGGCTGCCTGCTGTATCTATCAGCAGAGCCCATAGGAAAGAGGTAGATAATTAGGTGTGAACTCATTATTCTTTTCTTTCAAGTCAGGAGAAGCAAAAGGGGACCAAGAGAAAAGGCATGAGGTGGACAGAATAATGGCCCTCTGAAGGTGTCTGCCTCCTAATCCCTGGAACTGTAAGTATGGTACCTTGTATGGCAAGAGGGACTTTGCAGATGTGATGAAGTTAAAGATTTGGGGATGGAGAATGGTCCTGGATTGTCTGGCTGGGCCCAGAGATGTGATGATGGAAGAAGGGGGTCGGAGTCCGAGATCTGAAAGTGCTACTCAGTTAGCACTGAAGATGCAAAAAGAGGCCAGGAAGAAAGGAGTGCAGGAGGCCTCTTGAAGTGAAAAGGGCAGGGCGACAGAACCTTTTAGAGCCTCCAAGGGGAGCGTGGCCTGCCGACACCTTGATTCCAGCCCAGCAAAACCCATTTTGGACTTCCGGAACTCCTGAACTGTAGGATAGCAAATGTGTGTTGTTTTAAGCCACCATGTTTGAGGTAATTTGTTATATGGCAGGCAGCTCTAGGAAACTAGTATCAGGTATCTCAAAATGTTGAACTGGAAAGACAGACTCAGGATGTTCACCTCATTTCTGAATCAAGTGAATGAGACCCTCTTATCAGCAAAGGCTCAGACAAGTGGTGAAGCATCCTCTGATGTCAAGGGCGTGTCCGTGGGTTTTCTCTCTGTTGACTGAGAGACACAAGGGAGATGCACAAGAAGAGACAGAGGGCTTTAAGAAGAAACGATGGGCGGGGGGGAGGGGCTGCTTGGCAGGAGAACAAGAGATTTTACCTGGTCTCCTGTGAGGAGGCACCTGTGGGCTGATGGCGTTGGTCCCCATGATGACGTACTCATAGTGGACTCCTGGGTTGGGCTGCTGGTGTATCATCTGACAACACAGACATCAACGTCACTGCACCGGGACACACTCACATCCCTTTCCTGCTGGCCCAAGGTCCCCTGGTATACATGGCACTATCCATAAATGAGTGGGTTGATTCAGATCTGATCGTATTAGTGAGCCTGTGACAGATTAAAGGAAAGCTCTTCCCAGATGGGTTTTTTGCTTTTGAAGAATGAAGGACTTAGAAGAAAACTGGTCTGAAAGTCAAGATTTTATACATTCCAAATAGGAAGAGGGGAGCAATGGTAGTAGAACCTTTCTGTTGGCTCTCAACCATCTCACACCACGGTTTAGATTGTGCTCGGTTCTCTCAAAATGGCCAAGCCATGTGTATGTGCCAGGGGAACTCATTTGAACACTAGGGGGCGAGATAGAGTCACGCCAAGAAGAGCCAACCCTCTTGGGCAGAGCCAGGCTGTGATCCTGTATGTTCCTTCAAAGAACCCTTCCTGGCCATGAGGCTGGCTCAGGAAAGGTCTGCCCCACCCTCTCCCTCGTCCACTTTCCGGGTCTCATCCCCTCTCATCCATGGAAAGCTCCAGAACCACAAAGACATGGGGTCAGGACAACCGGTGTCAGGGAAGTAAGTGTCCCTGGTTCCTATTCTCTCAGGAACCAATGACAAAAGCAGGATATCAAGCAGGAAACTGCAGAAGGCCATGGAAGTCAAGAATTAAACATCCTCTGGGACAGAAAGCACAACATAAATCAGCACGGCTTTGCAGAATAAATCCCTCCCTACTGGCTTCGGAACACACAGTCCTTTGTGCCCATGGCCTTGCTGGTGAGAAGGAGCAGAAGGGGAGTCTGCAGTGTGAATATGAACCAGGCAAGAAGGAGACACTGTCCCGTTCTGATATTTCTGCCTCTACTGCTTTCTAAAGGGGTTCTCCTGTTGACCAGCTGTATAACCTAGAACAAGTCCCATGGTCTCACAGTTTTTGATTTCCTCATCTGGAGGAGGAGCTTAGAATCACAGCTGTCTCTTAGATCCTTTAAAAGCACAAGCGTCTCCCAGTCACCCCTGCACAGTGGGTCCTGCTGGTTCATGAGAGTGTCTGTTCTGTCCACCATCATCCCTTTACCAGCTCTCTCCAGGGGAAATGGGGCCTCCATTCTACAAACCACCCGAGGGAAGGCAGACATGAGAACCACTGAGCTCCTGACACCCAGGAACCATGGTGGTGAATACAGAACCCCAAGGGATGAAGGGGTGTGGCCCTGGCTCCACTGTTTACCCCCAATTCCCTCATTTCTCTTTTCACATATTCTGACTGTGGGTCTGAGGCCGGAAACCCCCCTCGCCTCTCTTATGCCTTTTCTGCATGAGCATTCTGCCAGTGCAAACCTTGTCTCGTTTATGAAGTTATTGTTGGCCACCACATCCTAGACCACCCACAGTGGGCCCTTAAAGACCGGGGTTTTTTACCCCTGATGCCATTTGAAATTTACCTGAAGTCCAACAACCAACTGGACAGTCTTAAAAAAAATATTCAAAATTAACTATAACAAGGCTTCTTTTATAGTTTCTAGTCTATGAGCCACCAGGCCCAACAGGAATGAACATGTAATTATATAATTGGAGAACTAATATTTATAAAATTCTAACACAGCAAACTAGCATGTAGATTTGCATGGCTTTGGAGATGGTAAGAGAAGGCAGATCCGTGGGTGAGGTCGTCTTTGTCAAAACCTGATTTCGAGCTTTTATTTCTTGTCACTTTTTTTTTTTTTTTAAATTTCCTGATCTTTTTAAGAAGACTGGATCTTAGTGCTTTCTTTAAAAAATAAGGACCATTTTAAACTCTGGGGCGACTTCATAATTTAGTTTCTTGTAAAATAAATCCCACATTTTGTCTTCTGCCAGGCAAGGAACCTGTAGTAAACCTCTATATTGTTACTCAGAGCTTTATTGTATCATCTGGAGTACTCTGGAGCTCTTGTTTCTTCATTCGCTTTAATAGAATTTGAAGAGGGCTGGGAACTTGAGCGGTCGTGTCTTGCTTTAGGGCATTTGCTTTCTTTTGCCATAAAAAGAAAACATGCCAAATTAGCATTAGGAGAAAAGTGCCTGGAGGGGAGCCAATGCTCATGAAATAAAGGATATGTTTTGCCTCTGATTTGGTTCAACAAGTGAAAATGGTTATAGGGGGTCAATAAACTCTGAGGGTAATAAGCATCTGGTAAAGTTTAAGGTTTCTGTGAGCTAGGTACATTCAGAAATGAGTGGCAAAAATGAATGCCAAGCACCTCGGCATCTCCAAAGGCTCAGCTCGAATGGTTTTATTGAGCACAGGCAACAATTTGTTGCTTATTTGTGCTAAGTGTGGTCCTTGGAAGAAACATAAGATGCAAAATCCCAACAGTCCAGAAACATCCAAACTCACATAGACATCCAAGATCTCATTCGTGGGGCCTTCAGCCAAAAAGGATTCTCCAGCGGTGCTCGAAATCTCATTTGGACGCTTGTAGGTGAACATGGTCCCTCCGCCCTCGTATTTTCCAGGCCGGTCAATTGCCCAGTTCCCGTTGATGATGGAGCGGCCAGAACGACTTCGCAAAGCTGTCAAGAACAACAAAAAGAACAATAAGACAATTCCTTGAGTAAGCCCACGGGGTGCACAAGAAAGTGAACTGGCTTATTCTAAATTCATCAAAGTGTTTCCTGAGGATCCACTATGAAGATCTACTATGGAGAAGATCCACTATGTGCCAGGCACTGAGCTCAGCCCTGAGGGGGTGAGGCATCTAGGGCTCGACCACTTTCTTCAACCAGCTCAATCCCTTCCACCACTTGGACTTAGTAGAGAAAGGAGGAGTGGGAGTGGTTAGGAGAGAAGGGGAAGAGGGGAAGGAGAAAGAAGAAGAAGAGGAAAGGAGAGAAAGGGGAACTGTGTCATATCCCATTATCTAGGTGAGAGGTTGCACATGGGCAGCCTGGGAGCTGATTTTGGCCCACAGATAAGCTTAGTTTGGCCTTCATGGTGTTTTGTTTTGTTTTTAAATAATTAAACCCAAACCCAATTTGGGTTCTCTAGCTTCTAGCTTGTCATGTAAAACAAGAAGACATGTTAGCATTGGCTCGACATCCCCTCACCGCAGCAACCAGCTGGAGCTGAGGAGGACCGCCCCGTTAGATGGGGTCTGTGTGCTCTGGTTTGCCCCAACCCCACCGCTCCTTAGGACTCCCCGACACTGAGGCTAAGTTTCAGTTTATTGCCCATTCATTTATGACTATGGATTATTTATTCCATCTATGATCATGCTGGCATTGTTATTTGTCTCACAGAATAGAAATTTTCTTATAATTCTTTCTACTGGTAGGTCTACTAAAAGTGACAAAGCTAAAGATAGGTCTAAGTGGGTCCCATGATTTTCTCCTACCTGATCACCTTCATTCATTTGTATGACCTTCCTGACTTCTGTGGGCTTTTGAGGCTAGATGCTCCCACATACACAGTCAAAATTGATCCTCATGACACTGCCAAGCAGGTGTCCCCAACTCTCAGAGCATGGTTCAGGGATGAGAGGGAACTTGTTCAAGTTCATGAAGATGAGAAGCGATAGAACGGTATCCACACTTAGGAGGGAGGTAAGAAAGGAGAATAGGGGCAAGGAACAAAGTGTTCAGTTAATGAGAGAAGAAAGGACAGCATGTGAGAGCTGACTTTCTTCCTTTAGGCATTTGGCACCTTTGAACCCCCAAGCCAATGGTGGATTGAGTTTAAAAGACATCCAGTGTTAAGTGTCTTATACATAGTGGGCCTGTGATGGTCACTGGCTCTTTGCAACTTCACTTGCACAGAATTACTAAATTTAATTTTGTACAATGTATTATGGAAAAATTTATATATAAACCAAAGCAGTGAGAACAGTATAATAAACCTCTGTGTATACATCAGCTTCAGTAATTATCAACTCATGGCTTATCCTGTCTCACTCTGCAAATCCCAGACCCCATTTATCCTTACATTTTTCAGGAGGTGTCTCTAAAATATAAGGAACCTTTGTTTCTTAAACCCATTTTCAGCAGCATTTCTACAGTGGGCCTCCGGGGGCCGGCAGAGTCAGAGCTGCTCCACGGGGTGGCAGAGCTTCCTATTTAGAGCAGGGGACCCCACAGACTCCATCCCTGGCTGGCTGGTTGCCATGGCCACAGCTGTGGAGCACTGAATACCAAATTATAAAATCAATTCAGCTTGAGTGATAAAGAAGGTCAAGAGTAGAGACTGAGGAAGAGTAGGTTTGGGGCCGTTTTCTCTCAAAAATCACACTTGAGAGTGGTCCATATGGTCTCCAATTCCTCACTTCCCATTCATTTCTCAACCAGCTCCAACCTGATTCCTGCCCCCACTAGTCCATTGAAACAATTCAAATTAATGTCACCAAGCCCTCCATGTTGCTAAATCCAACGGGCATCTTCCAGGCCTTCCCTTGCTAGACGTCTCAGTAGAATTCGGCACTACTGACCACTCCATCCTAATTGAAACATTCTTTCTCTGGTTTCTGAGACACCACAGTCAGCTTGCTGTCCTCCTGCTCTCGGGATGCTCAACCATTCTTCTTTTCTGTGTCATCTTTCTCTACTTGGCTACCAATTATTAGCATTCCTTGAGGATGAAGATTTGGGTGCTGTACTTTCTTGGGCAAGTTCATCTATGCCATGGTTTTAATTACTGTATTCTGCTGGCTTCCAAATTTGTTTCCAATCCAGAGTTCTCCTCTGGTCCCAGACTTCTTTATCTGATGGCTTACTTGACAGTTTCACTCAGATGTCTAAGACTGAACTCACCCTTGACCTCTTCCAGTGTCTCCTATGTTAGTAAGTGGTACCACCACCTACTTCATCAGAAATGGAGGAATTATCCTTGACCCCTCCCCCTTCCTTATCCCCTATATCCAATCCAATCATCAAATTTTTTTTAAAGATTTTATTTATTTATTTGACAGAGAGAGAATGAGAGAGAGCACATGAGATGGGGGAGGGTCAGAGGGAGAAGCAGACTCCCCGCCGAGCAGGGAGCCTGATGCGGGACTCGATCCAGGGACTCCAGGATCATGACCTGAGCTGAAGGCAGTCGCTTAGCCAACTGAGCCACCCAGGCGCCCACCAATCATCAAATTTTATTTGACCTCCTCTATATTTCTTGAACCCATCAACTTCTCTCCACGTCCACTGCCATAATCTAGGGCAAGACCACCACCAGGTCTCATCTGGACTAACTCGAAAACCGTCTAATTGATCTAGCTATTTCCCTTCTTTGCAGCCAGAGTAATGTCTTCAGAATGCAGGTTTGACCATCAGCTGTGGCTCAACACCCTTTAATGGCTTCCTATTTCTGTAAGAGAAGAAACCCCAATCCTTAATAGGTTGGGGCCCGCAGTGATGTGGTGCAGCCCCATCGTGCACCACACTTGTCTGCGCTCTGCTCCCTGGCCACCTTTTAGCTCATCTAATACATCATGTTCCCTCCACAATCCATTCTTTTCTTCCAGAAGCGTTTCTCTGAACCTGGAATCATATTTGTTCTTTAGATGTCAGCTCCTTTGGGGAGTCTTTCCCAACCCCCAGTTCAGGCCTTCTCTTTTTTATGTGCTTAAGGGATGCAAAAGCCTCTCCTCCAAGGCATTTAATTCAGTCTGTACACACATCCATTCAGAACATGATTGAACTAATGTTTGTCTCCCAGAGCACTGCAAGCTCCCCTCACTGTTACAGGTCTAGTGACCAGCGCAGTGTTTACCATATAGTAGGAATTCATATTTGTTGAATGCAAAAATACATAACAGAAAAAGACACAAGCTCAAAGGAAAGATAGGCAAAGGATGATGAACAGGTAATTCAAAGAAAACCAAGTACAAATACTCTGTAAGCAAATGGAAAGATGCCCTGCCTTACTTATAATTTAAGAAATGCAAATCGGGCGCCTGGGTGGCTCAGTTGGTTAAGCGACTGCCTTCAGCTCAGGTCATGATCCTGGAGTCCTGGGATCGAGTCCCGCATCGGGCTCCCTGCTTGGCGAGGAGTCTGCTTCTCCCTCTCCGGCTCCCCCCTTTTGTGCTCTCTCTCTCTCAAATAAATAAATAAAATCTTTAAAAAAAAAAAAAAAGAAATGCAAATCAAAACTGCAATGGTATCTTCTTGACCCACCAGACTGACAAATGTTTGAAAACATTTAATATTGCCAGAATCGGCAGGTGCGTGAGTAAGCAAACATCCATAACATTGTTGGTAGAAGGTAACCCGATTCAACCATGTTGGAGGGCAATTTGGTTATATTTTGCTAAAACTTTAAGTGCTATACACTTAACCCAAGAATTGTACTTGTAGGAGACCACTTTGAGGGATATACTTTCATAAGTATACAAAAGTGTTTGTAACAAGGATATGCCCTGCAGATTTTTTTTAAAGAGAAAACCCCAAAACAACCTAAATATGGATTGCTTACATAGTTTGTCATACTGAATGTCCATGCAGTGGGATCCATGTGGTCCCCAAAACAGTGAGATAGGTCTGTGTGTGGGGGTATGGGAAGAACTCCGTGATAAATTTAAATGAAACAAAAAATGCAGAACAGCATGTTTGGTATGATCTCATTTGTGTATAGCATATACATAAGACGTATGCACATGCATAAAACTTTTCAGAGAATATCATAAAACTCTTAACATTTGGGGACAGGAACTAGTTTGGGATGTGAGATGAGAAGGGAAACATTTACTTCACATTTTATATCTTTTTATTGCCATTTAAATTTTGTTTTACCATATGCATATATTACCTTCTTTAAAGCTTAAATCTTTTTTAGTTAACATAAAGGACATGGTACAAGCAGAAATACTCCCGAGGGATATACATATTTTCCCTTTCTTTCTTGGTTCTTCTTAAAATCCCATTCAGAGCATCCAAAGCTCAGAACTGAGGTTGGTTCTGGCTAAGATTTTATTGCTCTTAATGGCAATCTTGTAGAAGAGGTTGTTATCTGGAAACCCCCCCCAAAAATCCATTAAAAAACCACCTGAAATACTGTACAGGAGAAAGCTGCATGAGTTTCCCAGGAAATAAAACACGGGGACCCCGAATCTTTTTACCATCTACTACTGTTACCCAAGCACCCGCTCTCGGGGTTTAGATGAATCTTTCACCGTATAATAGCAAAGCGTAAAAAAAGGCTGTGGGAGATTTTTAGCAGACAAGGGCCCGGTTCCATATGCCCACAGGTTAGCTTCTGAAATAGGTCCAGCACTAGCCCCCACCTGGGCTTGCATATTGAAAGCAGCTGCACCTACAATTTATGGGCCTGTAAGCAGTTCCAGTGCTATGTAATGGGTGTCCAGAACTACCCCACAAAAAGGTGCAGGTGACTCATGGCTCTTGCAAGTGGGCGTGGTCACAGAAGGTTAAGCTTTGGCGAAGCTTGTCACAGCCACGTCAATAGGAGGAAATCTCCACTCTTGTCTGACATATGGATTTTATTCGTTCTAGCTGTCAACGCTGGGTATATGTATTTGGCCTAAACTATGTGCACCAACAACGCCCTTCTCTGAGATCCATATAGGAAT